TTTGAATCCGTCATCTGTTTGCTTAATATCATTTCTATTATGGTAAACTATATTTGAATACTATTTTTTTTATTGAATTGACACAAAAGAAAACAATTTATGCTCTCAAATAAAAAGAAAAAGTTTTTTTTTTTTTCATGAAACAAAATATCTCGAAAGTATCTGTCGTAAATACAGCCTACATGTTGTAGGCGTCCATTAATTTGCTAATATTATTCAAAAGAAAAATGTAACATATTTTCTTTGTTATATACAATAAGTCTTGACATCATTTTTATGTGTAAAAGTATAGTTGTTTTCAATATGAGATAACTTACTTGGTCATTTAGTTCTGGGTGTCGATAATGTCTAAGTTGATGTTTTTCAGGTGCAGCTACACAATATCCAGCATATGCCGCAGCACCAAGGACACATGTTGTTGCAAGTCCATATGCAGTTTTCCGTACCATAGATGTAATTAAATCATCTTGGAATATTTGAGCAAAATTGAATGGCATAATTTCTGGATTAGTTAAAAACAAAATATATATTTATCTATATATCAAAATTCTTCTTTATCGAGGTATTAAAGGCGTGTCTAGTTATTTTGATGATGGAAAGAAAAGAAAACGAATTGTACGTACTATATTTATGATGTGTAAATAAGAATCGTAGACGAAAATAAAATAAATCATAGAGAAGGAGAAAAAAAATAGAGAACCTCTTTCATTTGATGAAGACAGCATAAATATTTGATATGATTCATGCCGTCCTAGAATATCGAATACGATAACAAAATAGGATGTGTGTGTGTGTGTGTTTCAACGAAGAGACTATCTATATCATGATGATACGACAATTTTGCCTTTCATATCGATATAGAAGAAGAAAAATGTAAGAAACAAAAAAAAAAAGTCGAGGAAACAGTCGTAAAGCTTGACAGTACCATTTATCTAAGCATATAATAATGATTAATTACACACAATCATTAACATTGTGTCAAAGCGTACAATGTACGGAAAACTTGTCAGAAAACATTTGATATACACGTAAAACTACGACATTAAAAAAACAAAAAAATTTTATAATTTTAATAAATATTTCTTCTTTTTTTTCTTTTCTTCAATGGAAAACGGCGCATCTGTAATATTTTATTTTATTTTTTTTATCTATTCATTACGTAGAATGAGTATCCCTTCGATTGAAACTGATGATAGATCATCAACTATAATCGATGATAATGTGAGTGTTATGGTACATGATTTATCTGATACTACAGTTACTAGTCATACAAGTGCTTCATGGCATTCAGTTGTATCTGATATAAATATAAATAATAATCTATTTGTTCGTTCACATTTGATAAATACTTGCTTAAAAAATTGTTTTATTGAACCCGATATTCGATTAACAACAGCTCAAGAATGGAAATTACGTACTTGTATGAGACGTTTACTTTCTATATGTAATCTTCCTCTTAAAATTTCTTGTATAATAATAAAAGAATCTAGTTTAATATCAAATGAAAATGAATCAATACCATTTATTGATCAGGTTATTTTTTGTTTTTTTTTTTAAAGAAACAAGACTTTTTTTTGTTTTTTTATTGAATTCGTTTTTCATTTTCGTATTTTATTGATTAAGGAACAACAATCATTATCAATGATTGATTCTTCATTGACATCATTAATCACTCATCCATGGCTATATCAAGATGAAACATTTCATAATCAGTTAGAACAATTAGGTTTATATTTACGTATTTTATCAATTACGGATATAAATAATGGATTATTAGAAGTTAAATTATTTGAATTTTATTCGAAAAATTTACAAAATTCAACAATTATACATATTCCACTTATTAAATCACCAAAATTTGTATTTCATATTTCATCAAGTATACTTAAATTAAATTTAAGAAGTAATAATGCATTACTTGAATTACAATTTTCAACAAGAGAAAATGAATCCATTCGAGGAAATTATTATAAATGGAATGAAATCAATAATGAACATATGAAATTTAATATTAATATTGATATTGATCATAGTTTGATCAATCAATTTAATATTATATAAATAATAACTACAATAATATAGTTTATAATTTTTCTCCTATTCGTGTGTATGCTACGTACGATTGAATCAATCAGAAGATTAATCAGTATCTTTTTCAAATAGGATTTTCTTCATTTCGATAAAATGTATTTTACTAGTCGATTTGCATAATTCATGAAGGTTAATATTTCATTTTGTTGGATGGCATTGTTCAACCTTTATTTATGTGATTCTTCTTTTTGCTGAACAATGTAATGAGCGATGTTGATTTGGACATTGTAAACAAATACTCAAATGTTAATGAATTCTGTGTTCTAGACTGTAATAATCAATACTATTATAATTAACAAAAAAAAAATCAAGTTTTGTCTTGGAATTGAAGTAATAAATGTCTTATGTAATATTCTCTAGTTAATTGAACTTTATGTTATACAAAATTCTTAACTACAATTTTAATTCGATAAACACAAATGTATAGAATTTCGTAATAAAAATAGTTCTCGAATTCTACGGTTACTTGTCTTTTTTATTGGGTTAAATTTTTTTCATTTTATATATTTTTAAGTAAAGAATAAGTTTATGTTTTATGAATCGATATATAATTTTACACATTCGTTTTTACCTCGAGCTTTTCTCCTCAATCATGGAATATATTATTTAGTTATTAAGTATAAAAAAATGAATACGTGAAAATCTGTATTTAGGTATGTTTTATATTCTCTATTATATTTAAATATTGATTAAATACCAATTATATCTAAGGTCAAAAAAAACATTACTATTAGAACTACATATTGACATATTTTTGACTTTGATCAACATGAAAAAAATTTGATTTTAATGATAGAATCAAAATCTTTTATTATTTTTAGATTAATATAATTTTTTCTTTTTTGATCTTATGTAAGATTGTGGTTTATGAGCGCAGAAGTTGATGATAAACATTGTCTAACATATAATTAAGTGATGATAGAATGTCATATTCTTGAAGTTGATTAATAATGGAAGTATCATAGTTATGTATAAGATATGTTGATGTTAACAGTCTTGCCATCGCACCTACATTTGGTGATTCTAGATAATTGTAAACGCTTCACCGCTTTCTTAATTTAAGTAAAATTACATACAGAGTAAATTATAAATAGCTCTATTATTACAAATTGATATCTTTTTTTTTCGACTCAATTATAGAGACTGTGTTCTTTTTATTTTTATTGTACTTGAGAATAATGTCAAAGTTTTCGAATAATGTTAATGGTAATCATTTCCAGCTGTTACCAGTACAAAATTTTATTACTTCCGAAAAGCAAATAATCATCAATTCATCATGTTCTATTCAAATAAACTAATCATTCGATATTATAAAGATATATACTTCTCATTTCATTTCCTACAAAACAAATTCAAGGTGTGAAAAACAATGATCAAACAGTAACGATGATTTTAAGTTGTTTCTTGTATTTTAAAATGTTATCTATCTTGATGTTAATATGTTTGCTTTAATAATAGAAGAATCATTTACACAGCCGAATACATTTTTATGGATTGATAGTTTAACAAAAGCAAATGAAAGAAAAAAATTCAAAAAAAAAAGACTTACAAAATCTCCTCATTTTTAGGTTATTATTTTTGAATTTTAGAGATATTGTAGACATAGTTTCTGTTTTTGACATGCTTTCAGTCTTATGAAATATTCTGGAAATGACAACTGAAATCAACTGACGCATGACTTACGAGAAAATCTCTTCAGCTGCCTCCCTCTGATTTCAATAATTTTTTGCACATAGTGTTCTAATAAAAATACTTAAAAATATTGAGATTTGACTAAGCTATTATATTTTTTTATAGAGACCTGAGATTTTTGGTAAACTCATATTTTTGAATTTTGATCTGAAACTTTGTGCATATAGAAAATTTAATTAGACTAGTTTCTATAAAAAAAATTTACAAGTTTTGAATAGAGTTCTTTCGAGATATGAGACTTTCTCTTTTTCATGGATAGTGTATACAACATGCATTTTTTGACAGTTTCATATCTTGAAGAGACTTTGTTCAAAACTTGTCAATTTTTTGATAGAAGCTAGTCTAGTTGAGTTTACTGAAAATCTGGAGCCTCTAGAAAAAAATTCAATAACTTAATTAAATCTTGATATCTTTAAGAGCTTTTATCAGGATACTATGTACAAAAAATATTGAAATCGAAAGAGGGCAGCTGAAAAAGGTTTCCTCAGTAGTTCGAGAAAAAAATTATAAAATAAAAGTTAACATTGATTACTAGTGTTCACAAGTTTGTAATTATTTTCTTAGTAGTTCACATCTCTTGAACAAAATGTTCTTTTTTTTGAAAATAATATACACATGTTCCAAAAGTGTCGGAAATCACACGGAAAATTATTTTTCTTTGTTAGTGCATATTGGATTATGAATTAATTTTTCGTTTCGATTGTTCTTTTTTTTGTATATTTTAATAAACGACTCTGAAATGATCGATGATAAAGATCTTAATGATCATTTTTGTTTCATTTGACATAGTGTTTTAAGAAAAACTACATCTTCTATCAAGATAATATACCAAAGAGAAAAATACTTAATGGAATGAATCTTTCATTATTTTTCAAGAAAAATTGCTACGGGCTCGTCTTACTTCAGATAAAAGTCTCTAGGCTTTCCTCCTGATTAAAAAAGAAAAAGAATTTCCTGATTTCTGAAATCTAAATTTGATAAACTTGGATAAAAACAAAATTCGATAGTATGCATTAATATAAAAAAATCATAAATCTTGTATTCTCGAATAATAATTAATCATAGTTTTATCCTATGATATACTCGTAGTATTTACTAGAGTATGCTGTTTTTCGTCAATACATATTAAAAATGGTTAAACTTAATCAATAGTTCTACTGCTGTCTTTTATCTATATATTATCTTCCTATGATAGAATATTTTTTTTTTGCTAATATTTAATGATTTGACATTGAATTTATTGATAAATTACCAAACGAAGAAGATACAGAAGCATTAGAAGCAGGGTTATATTGCATATATTGACTTGAATCATTATTATTGTTAGTCATTGATGATGATGATGATGGAATTTGTGTTTGATTTATTCCAAGTAAACCACCTGGACGGTAAACATCTTGAGGATGAATAAGAGGTGGTGGAAATGTTGTTTGTCGTGTTGTTGGAATGTCATATGCACCAATTGGTTGTGGACGATATGGATCATATTTAGTTGGTAATGCTGGCAAAGATTGTTGAATAGTACGATTTGAATCACCGAAATTTTGGCATTGATAATTGGACGGATATTGTAAATCTGAATGATGACTTGAGAAATTTTGCGATATTGGTTGAGTTAATTGATGATGTATAAAAGGTTGATAAACTGATTGTTGAGATTGAAATGATTGTGAAGGATAGAACTGTTGTTGTTGCTGTTGTTGAGAAAATGATTGAGCATTAAGAGAATTATAGGTCATTTGAGGTTGACTACCGAAATTTTGAGCAAATAAAGTTGAATTCTGATCAAATGGATTCGATTGATTGTATGTTGATTGTTGATATGGTATTGAATGTTCAAGTGAAAAAGGTAATGATGTTGACGACGGTCCAACAGGCATTGATGTTTGTACTGGAAATTGTCTATGTGGATTAAATGCTGGTAAAGTTGTAAACTTTTGTTCAGTCATGTTTGAAACATTTGAATATACAGGACCGGTTGGTAATACTTGATCAGTATAAAAATTAGTATTCGTGTTTATAGTTGACATCGTTGGCGGTATATACATATTTTCTTCAGCTTTAATTGATGATCGACTTGTTTGTGAACCCCATGTTTCAGGTTTCATAGCAGCTAAATAATCTTTAAGACGTGGTCGATCAGGAATAATTGGTGAATCTATATTATGATTCAATATACTGTGTTGAGATGATACTTCATGATTTAATAAAATTTTAGCTGCGTGTTGAGATTGTAAAGTAGTTAGACGTTCGTTTAATGATTTTAACTTTATACTTTGCTAAAGAAAAAGAATACTAAAGTAGAATTAAAATAAATTGAATGTGTATTACTTTCTTATAAAATTCCATTCCTTCATACGCTTTTGATAAAGTATCATCAAATAATTTAAATGAATTAATATATTCATGAATTAATTGATGACGACTAAAACAAAAATACAAGATATATTTTCAAAATGTTAATATGTATATCCTGGACAAAAATAGTTTTAGTCGATTTTTTAAATATATTATCACTAGAAAAACAACTAATTACATATATATTCTGAAAGCAATGAGAATTTTCTATAACTCTTTATACATGAACTGAATTTTGCCAGTGTTTCGTCAATTATCTTTTCAAATTTATCACCGTTATACAAATACTTCTCTAAGAACCAATGATCATATATTCTGATAGATCTTGAAACTCTATTATCCTACATAGTTTTGCCATATTTCAGTTAACACCACACCCTTCTATTTTGGGTGAGCGCATTCAAGCCACTTGTACCAGCGACATCAGCTATGTTCGCTTACTTTTCGAGTTTGATTATTTATTAAAGATGGCCTCACAAAAACAGTTATGGTAGTTTGAAGACCTAACCAATTGGAAAAAAAGTGTGAAAATATTAATTTAATAGAAAAATTATTAAAAAAAAATTGATAAAAAACAAGTAAACCATTCGAACAGTTAGTTTTTTAATAAACTACCATCGATTTTGATGAAAAATTGCCGACATGAGTAATTTCAAACTCTATCAAAATATATAATTATTTTTTTTTGCGAATGTGTTTTTATGATGACGAGATATTTAAACACTCAACTAAAACTATTTTATTTTTTGAAGGGTTATATATTTATTTACGTTTCTAATGTAGTTGAAATTTTTGTTCGTATATTAGCAATATTTGCATTGGTCTCTGTTAATGAATGCAGAATATTATCTTGTGCGATGCAGTTTTGTTTGATAATTTTAATAAATTCTTCATGTTTTTTTATTTGTTCAGAAAATAAATTCTAAGAAAGACAAAAAAAAAGTTTTAATTGAAATAGAACAAAAAAAAAACAAAATAATTCTCTTTCTTACTTTATGATTTTCTTGTCGTCGCATAAGAATAAATTTTGTTATATCATCATCTTGAATTTTTTGACGAAAATCATTTAATAATGTTTCACGTTGTTTTTTCATTGTTTCAATTTTTTCATTTAATAATCCAAGATATGATAATTTAGACTTATTTGTTTCATCTAAATTGAGATTAGTAAAATTAAAATAAAACAAAAAAACGAAATTAATTGACTTTTATACCGTCAAGTTCAGTTATAATTGGTAAAGTTTTTTCTAATTGTTCAAGTGGTAAATTAAGAATTTTTAAATGTTCAATTATTGTTGTCATATGTTGATGTAATTCAGTATTATTTTCATTTGCTTGTAACATCATATCACGAATAGTTTTAAGATTTATTTGTAAATCTTTAAATTCTTTATTAGATTTAACTGCATCATTATTTTCTTCCAAAGCTTGAAGTAATTGTTCAAATTCATTAATCTGTTCAGTTATATCATGATGTTGACTATTAAGTTCTAAATAATATGACAAAAGAAATTTGTTATGTTTTTTTTTTGTAAGCTTGTGTATTACTGCCGAAGTAATGTATTTTTAGGATACTTTGTAGCACAATGCCGTGTAGTCCCTCCTGAGAAACATCAAGAAAAACTGAGGTTCAAATTTCGACTTGAAATTTTGCATAGAGATACGTGTTAATAAACATAGTTTATTGTAAAAGTTGCAGATCTTTTGAATACTTGTATCGTAAGATATGGCTATAGTAAAAGCATACTTTTCACGCTACTCATATACAATGGCAAATTCTAATGTTCTTATTTCAGAATAGGCTCAATAAAAAAATTTGAAACTTACACAATAAGCTATTTTCATTCAGGCTTATCTATGTGCAAAGTTTTCAGTCGAAATTCAAAATTCAATTTTCTCGATGTTCCTCAGAGAAATAAAAAATACGGTAAAAATATAATATCTCGACAGCAATAAGCTATTAGCCTCGACTATTTTCAAGGTATTTTTAGTTCATTAAAATCTACATGATGCGCATAGTTTCGACTGAAAAGCGAAATGACATTTAGAAACGTTCCCTCGTAATAAAACTCAATTAACACAAAAAAGTGTATGTTAGGAGTGTAATAAAAAGGAGAACGACAATTAGAGAATTGTGGATTGTTCAGGACCCGATCGGATCTATATCCAAATATAATTTTAGGTCGGATTTTAATTAAATTTCGAGTCTAAATAGAAAAGAGTTGATGTCAACCTACTTAGGTACAGCGTTTCGCCTACGGTTTGAACTTTAGATGAATTATTTTCTAAGGAGAGGTAATGAATAGCTGATATCGTGATCATTCATTTAGGCATGCTCATAAAAGATGGCAAATAATGGTGAAAACAACTCGGATATAGATTCGGTCGAATATGCAAGTTTGGATCTGTCGAGTCCGAATCCAGATTCAGATTCACAAAACTCTAACGACAATAATTAGTCTTATTAGTAAATCTGATTGAGTAAGATCATCATTCATAGAATTAAAATCGCCAGATCAATAACGTTTACTAATGAGTATAAATATGCACAATAAAATTTATTTCATTTTAGTTTCAATTTCAAAAGGTTTCCGTTGATCTTGATAATATCTTGTTGTCATCATATCTCTTCATTCAATTCGTGACAATTTTATTATCTAGGTCGACATATTTTTCTATAAATAATAATATTTGAAATCTTTTTGAGTTTTCAACTCAATGAACTATGAGCAAATTGTAGATCCAAACTAAATGTTCATCATATATACAATCTATTTCCATTTCGAATTTTTTTTCTCCCTAAACAAGGTTGATATCATTAGCCGATTTGAATCATGTCTCATTCATTTTGATAAAAATGAAAAAAAAAATTACATTTCTTACTATCTAATTTATCAAATTCAATCATTAGTATTATCAATCTACATACGTTGCATAGCTGTAATCAGATCTTTAGACATATTTGGACGCGTAACAACAGCAGCAAAACAATCGAGTAATTCACGTGGTAAACGAAGATATTCATTATTGAATGGAATACGATCCAATTGTAAACAATCCATAAATGTTCTTAAAATAAATAAATAGATTATATAAATAACATTGATCTTTTTTTTTTCTATACTCAAGTTCTCGATTTTTATTTTCTGTGAATTGAATTATTTCACGTAAAAGTTTCGCTTTTTCTTCACTATATTCTGATACAGCTAAATGTATATCCTAAAGATAAAAACAAAACCAAAATTATTTACAATACATCATTTACAAACAATATATCATTTACCATTGGTACTAGTTTTTGAAAAATATCCGATCCAGATACATCCGGATCATGACAATCAAATGATTGTGATTTAGCCACAATAGCTCCTTTAATAATAACACATAACAAAAAAAAAATTGTTTTTTTTTCTTTTATATTAATTAATTTAAATTACCTTGCACAGCTGGTAAACTTGATAATGTCGGTACTTTTTCAAAATAAACATTATCATTATCACGCTTAACTATTTTATATCTATTCGAAATAAAATCGCTTTGTTTTTTGACAAAGAAAAGAATTTCTTCACTTACTTTTCCATGATCATATCAATAGTAAATGTATGTGCATCTTTATATATATTTGTTTTATCTGTTGATATTTTTTCTGCATTTTTCCATCCATCTTTAAGTCGTTCAATAGCATTTTCCAAATAACAAACAGCTTCACCATGTTTTTTATTTTCATCAGCTATTAAACTATTACAATAATATGTTATTGAGAGATAATATGATAATTTATATGTTAAAGCAACACGCCATTCCTTAATAAAACAAAACAATTTTATAATTTATTCGAAAATTAAATTTTTCACGAATTTTTTTATATTGACAAATAAACCTTACATCACTAGAACATTACAATGTCAGGAAATATTATTCGAACTTTTGTTCATTAGAAAAAACTATCGATAAAACTAATCATATTAATTCAGAGACAATTTATAACAGTTCACGAATAGAAGAACTAAAGATTAATACAATTTTGTTTTATTTTCTTATCAAAAAATTTCATTGTCTAATACTGGATTATGATATGATATTTTTTTTTAGGGAACACAAGCATCTGATCATTATATGTATTTATTAATAATGTCAAACTAGAAAATTTTTATCTAATTCTAAAATAGTTTTTTTTGCATAATGCGACATGTTGTTAATTACAAAGTTGATAGTAAGTTTTAGATTAACTTTGATAAAGCTTTGCAATCAGTTTTCAATCATGATGATTAAATCAACGTTTGTGAAATCTTGTCAAGAGAATTTATTTTTCAATACAATTATTAGATTTGAACAACCCTGTTACACGTACAGTAGTTACTAAAAGCACAGCTCGGTAAACTCTAATTGCATGCATCAATTCGAAGTCGATATCGAGCTTAATGCATTGGATTAAGAATAAAAACATTAGTTTTTTTTCCTTGAACTCCATAAAAGGCTTTTTTTGGCATTTTTCTGATTCATCATTATTTTGAATCGTTAATCTTCATTTGTTTATTGACAAATAAAGTTTTACATGTCTTTATTATGTCACAGATAGAATACTTCAATGTGTTGTGATCCTGAGGCACAGCAATGTTTCCTTTATCTACACACAGATTTCCGCTCTACTAATGACTATAATCATGAAAATTTTTAGGAAACACTTGATTGGAATAGAAAACTCACTGGAGAAATTTTCAAGGCAAATAGTTGAAAAAGACATGAAATTACAGAGTACATTCTAATGAATCTCATCAACTGTCATGCTAAGTATACCCCAAGATAATTTCATAAATCATGCAAACTATTATCCTTTGACCTGAAATTTTTATCAGTAAATAGAGACAACACTGAATGCTCGAATGAGGGTATACACATTGTGAAATATTCTTGTCTGAATGAAAAAAAAAAGTCAATTAGCTTCATTGCATGAGATCGTGCTCTATTTCTGATGAAAATATGAGATCAAAAGGTCCATATTTAGATCATTTTTAATTAGTAGCGAGACTTTTAATGACTATTGTAGTTTAATTAGACAGTATGACCGTTATAAATATGAAAGATCGAAAAATCATTTGTCTTTCTATTTAAACAGAACTTACTCGAAATCTTTTTGATACAATTGAATTAATTCCTGGTTTCATGAGATTTAAAAGTGCCATTTGACAATACTCTGATATTTGCATGGCTAAATGAGCATTGACTGAATGTGGTCGTTGATCAAATAATGATTTCTCAAGAACAGTTTCATGTGCTTGAGCCTTTAAATAAATCAGAATATCAATTCAAAAATATCAAAAAAAAAAAAAAGAAATATTACTAAAAGTATATCAACTTGACATGTTAATAATTCTGGAGTAAAATCTGCTGAATATGATGTATATTGATCACGTAATTTTTCAAAACATGCAGCTGCATATCGAAAATAAGTACAAGCATTTTTCATACTCTAAAAGAAAATTGAAAACAATTTAAATTATTATCATTATTTTTGATAGTATACTTCATGTGTTTTTCTTGTTTCATTGGCACCTAATCTTGAGTATATTGCACCAATATTATATAAAATACAAGCTTCTTCAAATCGAATATCATTATATGTATTTTCATCTTTTTGAAATCCATCTTCCCTATTAAAATAAATAATTTAAACGGAAAAAAAATTTTTGTTTTTGTTTTTTTTTTCTTGTAAATTTTACCATGTAAATCGAACAGAACATTCTGTATCAGGTAACATAGGAAAACGATTGCGTAATAATTGTAATTGACAATAATAACGTTTAAGACATCGTACGCTAGATTCATCTGTTGTACAATTAATAGCATTCTTAAATCAAGAACAAAAACAAAGAAGAAGAAGATTCGAATAAAAATTGATTTGTTTTTATTAAATTACTTCTCGAAGACGATTTATTTGTTCACATTCATTAGAAAAATTGGCACCATTTTCTTGATAATTAGCTGTTATAAACTAAATAATAGGAATTAAAAAAAAAAAAACGAGCACAATTCTATTTTTAGAAAATGGATCAAATTGATATTTTACATTTGGAATTTTTTCACATAAATCAACTGATTCTATAGATAATTTTAAATCAAAATTTATTGCAGGAAGACGTGGACATCCTTTAAAAAAATAAATAGATGAAAGAAAATTCTTTTTTCTTCATTCTTACCTTCCATGTTCATGATGAAGAAAAAAGAATCTGAATAAAAGAGATGAAAGAATCTTTTTCTATCCCTCCTACTTATTAAAAAAAAAAAAAAGAGAAAAAGTAAGACGTAATATGGATAACTTTAAAAGAAAAAAGACAACGACGACTAGTGGTTGGTTGTTTATATTAAATAGAAAGAATGAAGAATGGCGGAAGTTGATGAGTCATTTTATATATATATATATCCTTTTTTCTTTTGGCTTTAAAAGTTCTTCTCTCTTTTTAGCATGAATGAAGAACAGTAAATTTTACATTAATATTTTTTTTATCATAATGTAACAATGATTATGTCAAAGAAATTTAGTACACAATCATTGTTTTAATATATAGTTGTCATAAAACTATATAAATTACAGCAAATTTTGTCTTGCGATAAATTGATCAACTTAATTAACTCAATTTTTGTTTCTTTTAAAAAACGTATTTTTTATGAATAATTCTTCCGTCAGATTTGAACACGTTCCGTATTCAGAGATGATTCTTGTTAAACATTATATTGTATGTATGAACAAATAATGACAGCACGACTGAATCAGGATATTAGAAATAAGATAATAAATCAGAAAAAATTCTTCGATTATCTTTTTAAAGTTTAATATTTATATTTATATTTCGAACCTTCAAAATTAAATTTTATGTGATACAGAAACTTTTGAATTTTTCATATACCATCAAAAGTCATTTATTCTAATAAGGAAAAACTTTCTATTAAAAAACAACGCATCGATTAATATGAAAATATATAATCTTATGTAGAGATATCTCGAGCAAATGTAACTCTGCCAATCTTGAAAAATTTTCATTTTTTCCCAGCGAAACTAAAGGATTTACTTCGTTGTTTTGCGCATCAGTCCCTACAACAAGGGTCGACCCTTCCCTCCTACTTCAAACTTTGGTCTGATATGTTCATTTTTCTTGACATGAAATATGGTTTATTATAGGTTTAATAGAATTGTATTAAACTGAAGCAACGTGTAAAGTTATCGATTATTTGAATAATAGTGAATGACATTTTTAACTATTGTGATTCGATGTGCAAGAAATAAAATAAAATTATAGAACATCTTCAAGAAAGCATTAAGCAATACAATAAACTTTTTCAACAATTAATTCCTTTTCAAGTATGATCTGATAAATCAAAATGTTCGAACAATAGAAGATATTAATAATTTATAAGTGATACATTTCTCTAATCAAATATTTTTATATTTCCCTTGACAGAAAAAAAAACTACACAATCGTCTTAATCAAGAATACCAAGAGACGAGTCGTGAGACTATCGAGTATACGAGGTAACCGATAAAAAAAAATGAATTTTTTCTTGTTTTTGTGCATTCAATGCATCGATGTCTGAAAACAACAATCACAGAATTTTAGCGTCCAATACTCGTTCATTGAAAAGTTAGTCAGTGACGACTTTTTATCACTATCATATCCTTATGAAAAAAAACAGCTCCGTAAAAGTTGTGCTCGTTTTCATTTCAACGAATCATTGAAATATTTGATGAATTATACGAAAATATAGAAGATTAAAAATTGAACAAAATGAGCTATTTCAATATAATATAATATCGACTGACATAAGTTTTATAAGGTCAATCTGAATGAAAAATGGTTTCTTTTTTCTAATGAGTCTAAGATGTTCACTTAAAAAAAATCTATCTTCTGTCGAAATTCAGAATCAGAGAATTCCAAGCTGAGTTCTATGTATGTAATGCACTTTCTATTCTCTACAAATTAGTAAAAAAAACATTGAAAAATAAATGATATGTTCGAGGCAAAATGGAATTTACATCTCCTATATAGTGAGCTTTAATGATTTTCCAATAGAAAAAAAAACATTTTTAGCATTTTTCACTGTGATGACACGGTTGTAGAGCAAAATAAATGTGACATTCGAAATCAACGTCAAAAAACTACATTGAATCAAATATATTTTATAAAAACTTTTTTCCTACGAAAAACTGATCCCTGGAGGACGCGACGAAGCAAAACTTTTTATTTTACTCTACAATTATGTCATCACAATGAAAAACGCTAAAAATGTTTTCTTTTTCTATTGGAAAATCATTACAATCCACTATATAGGAGCTGTGAATTCCATTTTGTCTCGAACGTATCATTTATTTTTCAATTGTTTTTTTTACTAATTTGTAGAGAATAAAAAGTGCATTACATACATAGAACTCAGCTTGGAATTCTCTGATTCTGAATTTCGACAGAAGATAGATTTTTTTGTAAGTGAACATCTTAGACTCATTAGAAAAAAGAAACCATTTTTCATTCATGTTGACCTTATAAAACTTGTGTCAGTCGATATTATATTATATTGAAATAGCTCATTTTGTTCAATTTTTAATCTTCTATATTTTCGTATAATTCATCAAATATTTCAATGATTCATTGAAATGAAAACGAGCACAACTTTTACGGAGCTGGTTTTTTTCATAAGGATATGATAGTGGTAAAATATCGCAGCAGTGGGCGGATTTCCACAAAAGGAAATTTCTCTACTAAATATTCATATTTTTGAAACTACAACCATACAAAATGCAATTTTCAGAAAATATGAGAAACTACCGTAACTTTTCCAATATTATTCAAAACCCAACATAAACACAAATAAAGAAATTTTCTGGAAATTTCGGAAATTACCTTCAAAACAGAAAACAAATTTTCCGAAAACTTCGGTAATTACTCATACTAGAGAACGAAATTAGCAGATAATTTCCGTAAATGCCAAATCCACAAAAGGGCATTTATCAGCAATTACGAAAAATACCAGTACATGCGGACGAAAGTACCAGAAACTTTCTATAATTCCCCAATTATATCTATACGATATAATAAGATCCATATAGATTTAAAGAACTCACCCCAAGCAATAAAAGAATTTTAGCTAATTTCGGTAATTAACTGGAAATTTTACTAATTACGGAAATTTCTATAATTTCTTTGCATATATTATATAGATATAAGAAGATACATACAGATTTAAGGCGCCCTATCCCCAAAAAAAGAAGAATTTTTGGTAATTTCCGTAACTACTTGGAAATTTTAGTAATTACGGAAATATCTATAATTTCTTTATTTATACTGTATAGATATGATGAGATACATATAGTTTTAAGGAACCCTACTGCCAAGAAGTAGAAGAACTTTTGGTAATTTCCGTAATTACCTGGAAATTTTAGTAATTACAGAAATTTCTAGAATTTCTTCTACCTCTTGGGGTAGGGCTTCTTAAATCTATATCTATCTCATCATATCTATATGATATAAATAAAAAAGTTATAGAAGTTTCTGTAATTACTGATAAATGTCCTTTTGTATATTTGGAATTTATGAAAATTATTTGATAATTTCGTACTATCGAGTGAGTAATTACCGAAGTTTTCGAAAAATTTCTTTTCTGTTGTGGTAGTATTTTCCGAAATTTTCAAGAAATTTCTTTGACATGTGTCTGAAAACTCGAAAACGTCGCAGAAATTTCTTTCTCATGTAATGTTAATTACAGAAATTTCTTTCTCATGTAATGTTAATTACAGAAATTTCATAGAAATTTCTCTTGATGCACATGAATGTCTGGAGATGGTATCAGAGATGTTTTGGTATTTTTGGAAAGTTCCTTTTTACGGAAATCTGAACATACCTCACATTTCATGGAAAAAAGTCAACAAAATCATTTATTCCAGAAAAGTCTGGTTTTCACCTTTTTGTGCCTTGATTTTAACTATTTTCTTATAATTTAAGCCTTTAGGTAGAACTCAATTATTAAAAGAAAGCGGTTCTTACATTTATAGGATGAAGTCTACCATAATAATTGCAAAAACGTGACATTTTCAATTTTTCCGATCATTTTGATTTTACTGAAGTTTTTGATTAAATTGCTTTTTTTTATCTAAAGTTGGCAGAAAGTTCAAAAAAATTAAGCGTTTACCTTAAATTTTTAATCAAAACAGTCAGTTCACGCAAAAAAAATCTGATTTCAACTTTTGCCCCCTTCATCGAAAGCCTATTGGTTTGCTTTTTCGCTATGACAGAAGAATTTCGATAGCCCACTTGAATACGTTGGCACGTGGGCCTCTCAGTGTACGCTTTCTTCGTTTAGAGACACGTAATGTAAAGGAAGGAAAAAGATGTATAAGGACAGAATATGGTGAAAAAAATACCAACACGTGCGATTATGACTGTCTCCTTATGAAACCAACTGCCTTCCTTGTGAAAATTTTACGCTCCATTAATGCACATAATGAAACACGAGTGGGAAAAAACCAAGTAATTGAGTCATCGACAATTACGTAGCAAAGCTAGTTGTGAACATACATAAAACATAATTCATACATTTTCGTATTATTTTGGGTATGTGAGTATACTTTTTTTCAACTCATTTAAGAGATGTTCTGTGAGATAATCAAGCAATTTTTGATAGCGCCATACTATTTAAAAGATTGATCTTCCCTCTCTCTTTTATTATTGCATTGTAAATTTTAAATAAATTTTGTTTTCTTGAAAACCGAGTTAGCAAAAGCTCAAACATTTTCAAGTTATTAGTAATCGTCAAATGATTTTTAAATTTGCAGAATATGCTTAGTTTTTCTAAAACAGAATTTCGGTCTGATTTCCTAGAAAAAGTTATTTTCGAACGAGTGAAAAGATCAACATTAATGCTTAATGATGTTTGAAAATTAATTTCAGTTTTATAGAAAACCTATCTGAACCCCACAAAAAGGAGAACATCAATATTACTTTCTGGAATATTATTTGAATAATGGCGACTATAGAACTATTGTTTAGTCATATATATAAGTCAGTTGCCGGCGTCGAGAATTTGTTCTGTTTCGGCAGTTGCATCGATTATGTGAGTTACATAAAGTGCAGCTAGTTCATACTAGTCTGTCGTATAATAATGAAAATAAGCAATAAATTATTTTCCATTAATAATGAGAGATGATATATATATAATTA